CCTTCCCAGAGGCTGAGCCCATAGGCCTGAGGAAAAGCAGCAGACCAGGTAAATTCACCCCCGTAAGGCCCTGTGTGGCCTGTGGGCAGAGAAGCCAGGCAGCCTTTCCGGGGCAGGGCTCAGTCCTCCCCCACACGTTCCTGTTAAAGGCTCAGCAGTGGGTACTAACTCCTGAACTGCTGAGATCTTTTCCCTGTGACTTTGGCGAAGCTGGTGTGGCTGCCTTGAAGCTAAAAGGAGGAAAATAATGGTAAGAGTAAAGGGGGTGATAAAGGTATATACTCTCTGATGCAGTTTGAAAATCAGAAAGCTCTACCAAGTGCAGGACAGAATATTTTTTTACCAGCATCTTTTTAAGTGCTCTCAAGAGGCCTGCTCAGGATTTAGTAGGACCGGGCAGATGTGCTCAGCAGGGGAGGGCTACGGAGAGCTAACCTTGGAAATAATGACCTCAGTGTTTTTTCCTCTCCTACATATTTCTGGGGGTTTAGGCATGACTCTTAGTGAAAACAATGACAATAAGTGTTTAAACTATTATCCACGGAGTGCTTGTTTTCCTCATAAGAGTTTCTTAATTTGAGTTAATCTTCACAGATTATTGTAGTGAAGACAGATGTAGACATTTTCAGATGGTTTGGTGATTCTACTCCATTCTCTAATCTGTCACCAAAAAACCTTCCTGTCTTACCTACTTTTTCTTATTGCTCTAGGATGCAGAACTTCAATATTGCCATGCATCTTTCTGACCTCTTCAGCACATAAAAACATTGGTACTTTTGTGCAAGCCCAAAATAACTAGTAGCCATTTAGGGCCATTAGAACCAATTATGGTAGCTTAAAATAGATTTCCACTAGTCAAGAGCCAACTCCCTACTATGTTTGAAGCTCCATCTGTTACCATGAACAGTGACCCTAAAACTACTCAGCTGTTCCAAATCTGGCCAGTGAGAAAATTAAATGAGGATGGGAAAATAAAAGACTGCAAAATTATCTAGAATTAACAATGAAAAAGAAAAGAACTCTTTGAACAGACAGTTGGCAAAATTCTGAGCCACTAACTCAGTTCCCAATTCCTTCACACTGTCAGTACCCTTAGCACTCTGAGAAAGAAAACTGCTGAAGTGTTTAGCCACTCACCTTTTCATTATTTTAGATAGGCGTTACCAAAAATTGTAATTTAGAGAAGGGAAAGTAATTGAAAGGTCTTTGTAAGACAGCAGCAGGCAATGTGGAGTTGTTATTCATTTGACGAATATTTATTGTACCTACTGTGTGCCCTTCTATGCCCTCTATTACCTGGAGAAGAGTATTATCTGATACTGTCCCTGAGCTCAAAGAGCTAACTGGCTCATGGGAGACACAGTAATCAAATAGTAACACAATAATATAAAATAGCAGCAGTGATAATTGTCACAGTTTTGCCTCATAATTTGTGGTGTTATGAGGGTGTGTGATAGGGTAATTAACCTAGTCTAGGAGGTCCAATCTGACTTCCCTAAGGAAGTGTTTGTTAAGCGAAGATCCGAAGGGCAGGGTTGGAGTTAACTAGACAAAGGCAAGGTGGGAAGGAAGGTTTGCCAGCGGGGGCAAGGAAGGCGGGGAGAGTGTGCACAAAGATGAAGATGTTTATCCACATGTTTTATCATTAGACCTAGCACAAATGGCTGTCACATAAAGGCACTCAGCGAATGAGCAGAATAAATCCTCATGTTCTGCTTATAGATTCTTCACACTTATGAATTTCTTCCTACATTTAGAGCCACCCTCTGCATTTTAATCTTTTCTCTAACCAAGCAGATGGCTGTAACCTTAACTGTTTTATGAACCCAAATCTGTATTTTAAGAGTCATAAATATTACAGTTAAGCAAGTAAAAATTAAGTTTTCATGTTATCTTGCTTGGTTGCTGGACATCTGACACCAGTAATTTATCTTCTCTTCAGCAGAAAATTGAAACTGCTTAGTCTTTTATTATACTGGCCTGGCCATAAACACGTTGCAAATTATAATTTTATATCGCCATTAGTTTTATTTTGGGGTAATACAAATTACTCGGTCATCCACTTGCTTTTGGCATTTAGTAATTCTCTTTCACAATAAAATTCCACTTTCTTTGCTTTATAGTCCCTAAGAACCCACAAGGAGTATTCAGGGGTGGTGGCACCCTTCAAGGCATTCTCACCAGCCCATTCCTGCTGTGTGACTTTGGCTGTATTTTTGGCCGCCTGGTCTCCCTCAACTCCTATTTACTTTACAAGCTCAGATTGCCTAACATTCCAGTTGCTCCTTTGGGTTACCTACTGGTTTTCCTGTAAGTTTCTTTTCTGTCAAGTTAGCCAAGTTGGTTTCTATTGTTTGCATCCAATGACTCAGGCCCTAGTCGTCTGCTCCCGCCCCTGGCCTTCGTCTCCCACCATGGCCAATTCTGTAAGCACCGTTTCTACAAATACATTTCAAAGTTACTTTTGCATAGTTCTCTTCCCCAAGATGGTCAATGTTTTTCATTATTCTTTGATAGCCTTGGCAATTCCTTAGAGTGCGTTATAAATTCTTTAACAAAGTGGAATTATGTTCTCTCTGATCACTCTCTCTCTTTGATTGCTTTCACCTTTCCCAACCCCTAAGATTCATTTCTTGCTCTTGTAATCTTTTTTACTCTGTACTCATTTTCCTTTAGGGTTTGTGTGATTTAATAAGCTTTTATTGTGCATGGACTGTGTGCCAGATATTATGCTAGGGACAAGGATCCAAAGATGAATAAGTCATCACTGTGTAAAGAAAATAGTTGAAAAAAATGTAAAGTAGGTTAATGTCAAGACAGGCAGCATAAGCCATCACATTTCTCAAAGCAAGGAAGAAAGTACTAGAGACATATAAAGGTTGGGATTTGATTCATTACCACATCTCTTTCTATAGCAAGGAGGCTCATTTATTCTATCAGCATTTACTGTGCCCCAGGTACATGCCAGGCACTGTGCAGGACCAAGGTCTTAGTAATCTCCTTAGCTCGCTCTTTGTGAGGGTGTGTGCCTATCTATAGCTCTGTGGGTACGTGTGTAACAAATACTTTGTAATACACAAACAACTGGAGAGACATTCTAGAATGTATAGTCTAAGACAAGTTAGCTGCTCTGCTCAGTGTGACTGTGGTCACTGCTCTCTTTGAACGACTATTTTTTTTTAACTTCCATTACTGCTTCTCCAGAGAACCATCTGGCCATCTTTTTCCCTACATTCTCACTGCTGCCTATAATCCATCGTTACAAAGAGGGGCCTTATAAGTAGTCCTCGAGGGAGACATTATTTCCTTTCCATTTCTCTCTCAGGAAGAGTAATTTATAATGGGAGGGGGGACAATTGCATTTAGGTTAAAGGATTATCAATAACAAAGAAGAATCTGCTTCTTCCCCCTTTTAATATGTTAAGCTTCAAAAGGACTCTTGGTTTTAAAGGCCATCACACCTTGGCTCACTCTGAACATTAATATTATATACCTGGTAATAAAGTCAGAGGAATTTTAGTGAGAGCTGTTAAAGGGAAAGGATGGCTGAGATGGGTTCTTCTGGTGAATGAAAACCACAGGCTCGTAAATACAACTTGTGAGGTTGGTATTGTGGTAGCTAGTACTTTAAATTTGTGATTCCCCTGATTATATGGGTTGACAAGGGGGACTTTTGGCTTTTCCTCAGACAAGGCCACAGTGCTCAAAATTATGACCTAAAAAGAGAAAGGACCAGGATTCCTAAGGCAACTGAAAAGCACAGCAGAACTAAGATAAAACATGCCTGGTGTATGAATGTCAGGCATAGGTACTAGATAAGAGGGGAAAACAGGGGAAATGCCACTTTCTCCCTTTAAAAATTAATTTTGCCATTTGAAACACTTGTGAATTTTAATTTTATTGATCAAGCAAAAGTGTCACTGACTGCACAATTTCCATCAGCTTTCCCCACAAATAGCTGGTGTCAAATGATTACTTAGTTAATGATTATTATTAACCACAGGTGAATAATTGTACTGCTAACACTGAGAGTAGAAAGTCTACATCTGTTCTTAATGGAGCTTTTTAGGCGCACCCAATCCACTTTTCCCCCGAGCTAGGGGTCTGAGTACCTGCTCACTTAAACAGTTCAGAAAAGCCTCCGGAACATAGTTCCCGATGTGCTGCTCAGGTCTCCATGTGGCTACAGGTGCAGCTGCGGTGGGGGGCTCAGGCTTTGTTCAGTTTCCTTTCATTTGTGAGAATGGTTTAGACAGCACACTGGAATCTTCCTTATCTAAACTTCTCAGAAAGTACAAAGGAGCCTTCTCACTGGCTGAGCACAAGGAGCTGCAGGGAAGTCTACTGGTAATTCTGTGGTTTTCAGAGTCAAGGTCATGATTTTCGCTGACGAAAAAGGCCTTGCCTACATCACTTTCCCCCTCGTTTTCTTTTTAATATGCTTTGACAGCTTGAATTCAGAAGGCAGCTTCACAGTTAGATGGAACCACAGCATCTGTGCTAACAGCTGCCTTAGCTGCTCTAATTAGGACTCCCTTATTCCATTTCATTTTTCGGGAGAGGACAGGGGACTTTTTAATTGGGGCTATTAGAAGTTCCCTTTACACAGTGACACCCTTTGCTAAGTGAAGGCTCCCACAAAGCCATGCCCACTCTGCAATTACTTCTTGCAGCTCTGAGGAATAATGGTATCTTGTCTCGTTTAAAAATAAATCTGAGTCTTAGTCCTTACTGCTTTCTCTCCTCTGCCTACTCACATGAATTTCTTCTTGCCAATTAAGAAAACTTTCCATTATTTAAGGAGGTAGTTTTGATCCTAACTGTCCCCAGATAATAAGACATATCAAACTAGATTTTATTTGCCCACAGCTCCTTTCTTCCAGATACAAGGCTAATTTAAATGAGCTCAGCTCATTCCATCTGGAGTTCACTCTACAGTGTAATGCTGAAGCTTTGGAGTTTCCTGAGCAGGGCTCCCTTTGCCTGTTGCAAGAACTCACCTGAAATAACCCGTATGTTCAATGCTCGCAGTTTCTCAGAATCACTTCCTTTTAAGAGAACAGATGTAGGTTTGTATTTATGACCTATTCCAAGAAAAGAAATTAAATATTTAGATGATATACAAGCACATTCATAGTTATATCCCCCATGTTCGCTCAAAGGATTACCAAAGAAAATGGGCCATTCACAGCAGGGCCTGGAGTAAAAAGACATCAAGAGCTTTCCTTATTAGCATATTTTCCATGGACAAATACAGATGCTTTCTGAAACCAGTGGCTTCTCCACTACCATAAATGCCATTATGCCATCTCCTCTAATGTAAAGCACCAGCTTATATGTACAGAATGTGATGTTATTTATATTACTGTCTATATTACTATATATACAAAGATATATGCAGAATATTGAATGTACACTTGGTACTTAATAATATTGAATGGACTAAATGGTGTGACATTTTTCATTATTTTATATGCTTGGGTTAATAAGGCAAGCCTTTGAAAGTTACTAAGCCTGTCATTTGGATAGATGTTCTTAAAGAATTTAGTGTCATTCCCCACCATGGGTCCCTTTCTAGACATTTTTTCTCTCTGGCATCTGTCTCTCCTTCTTAACATGTAATGATATGGAAAAATAAGATTAAGAAACTCAAAACTGTGAGCTATTTGCAAATAATGCACATTTATTTAAAATAATATAACTTTCAAAACTAGAAAGACCTGAGTCTTAATTCTGACATTTTATTAGTTGTATAACTTTAAACAAAACATTTAACTTCTCTAAGGCCTTGGGTTTTTGTTTTTGTTTTTGTTTTTCACCTATAAAGTGAACATAATAGCACATACCCTGTTACATACTTTGAGAATCTAGTAAAATGCTTGTAAATGCTCTGAAAATGGTTATTCTACAAATATACAATATTAATGATGTTATTAGCCAATAGATTGAGGGTCTTAAATATTTAGGTATCAGTGACAAGGCTTGATGTGAAACTGCTCTCAGAAATACCAGCAACAAATACTTAGCCAAAGGGATTAATAGCATCTTCAGTCAAACCTGGAGGCAACCATTTGTTCTACCTACCAAAATGCCTAACACAGCCTTGCCAAGTAAAGAACATAAGAGTCTTAGGAAATAATGCAACCACCGTAATCCTACTGTCCGTTATTGAGAACTACTATGCACTAGACACTATGTTAAATTCTTACATAATCTCTTTATTTCAATCTGTACATCAATCCTGTGTGGTAATGGTGATTATTCTTGTTTTAGAGAGGAGAAAAGGGACACTCAGATATGGTAAGTAACTTGCTCAAAGTCACATAAGTAGTAAGTGGAAGTACTAGGGTTCTAACCTGTCTGTCTCCAAAGCCCATTCTCATAATGATACATTTTAGACCATCTTTAAGAAAACAGCTGCTCATATTATAAAGCATCCATCAATTTACTACACCATAGTTTATAGTCAATGTCCATCCTGATAGGTGAATTCCTGTGTTATACTAGTTAGATACTTTTAATATCATCCCTCCTGTCCTGATTTCCAATTATACATTTTAGCTCTGCCCAGCCTAAAATCTACTGCCACCCTCATGCTTACTACAGATTGATTCCCGCTCACACTCATCACCTAAAGCCATTCCACTGAATATCTTCAACTCTGAAATTCTCTGTCACCATTCCCTATTCTTCTACCTCTCTTCTGCCCTCACATCCACTAGGCTCCTGTTCACCCTCTGATCCTTCGACTCCTGCTGATACATCCAGTCTTTCTTCCCCTCCCATTCAATTGTCTGGGTAGAAGTAAGAACACATGAAGGTCTTTGAATGCTGGTACTATGTCTTACTTATGCTTATATTCCTTGGGTTATGGAGAATAGCCCCATATATACAGAAGATGCTCAATAATGATAAATGGAACTTTCCCAAATGATAGGTTTATTACTCAGTACTTACTTTGCCACATCCTCAGTCTTCTGTGACCTTCAAGCAGTTTGTGGATAACAAGGATGAGTGAAAATATAAAAACTAATAGTACTAAAACATACCAAATGATCTTAATGGAACAAGTGAAATCTGCGAATAAAAAAATATTATAAAAATACAATGAAATGATGTAACAGATGGCTATACAGTGGTATAGCTGGGTTCTACTCAATATTCTGCCCTAACTGAAAAGCTGAATATATAACCATCACTGTTACGGGGTCACTTGCTCTCCTGAATTCCTTTCTGAGGTACTAAATGAGGGTATTAGATGAGGAAACTTGACCACGTGGCTGCCAGGGATCTGTTTAGTTCCAAAATTCTAGGATTAATTTCATTTACAGGATTTCAGTTTCATTATCATTGTTATCACTAGGTTAAGACCAGAACAGGCAGGGTCCCAGAGTCAGAGCCATTTGTAATTAGCAAATTTGGTCCTGGACCATGCAGCCAAAAATTGTGTCTTTAAGTTAACAAAGACACAGTGAATATAAGAAAGATGGAGAAGAAAGGGAAACACAAAGAGGAAGGGCTGGGCTGAGGCATATGAGGCCAGAGCAGATGAATAATGAGACCCCACTTTCTACTGGGGCTCTCATGGCAATGATCAGACTAAGTACATACATTAATTAAACATACAGTTATCATAGCCTAAATTTAGTAAGGACACAGTAAAAACTTGTTTATATAAATGACAGTGAGGCAACATGGAAAGTATAGTCATCATCCAGCAATAGCTTTTGGTCCCATAAATACACACTGGCCAGAAGACCTAGGAATCAGTGACTTAGAGTTGCATTTTTCACATCCAAAAAACAACTGCCTACTGACTTTCTAAGGCCCCTATGTGCCCTGTTCCTTGCACACAAAAGGCTAGTGCTTATTCAACTTAGGATATGTAACTTGTTTATAGCCTTGGACAACTTCCCTTAGGGGTTCATGATTCGGATATCCCTTTCACAAAACCTCCCTTCATGGGCAGATGTACATTAATTAGGCACCCAACATTCATATAGAGAAGAGGCTGAATGGCAAAAAGGTAAGATTTGACTGGAATGGCAGCACTCAGCCTCCCCAATATCACTCCCTGCTATTTAGCCACCAAACTTGCATTCCTCACTCAGCAAATAAAAGCATGCAGTTAACTGGAATGGAAGATTTACAGTGCTAGCAAAAGCCAAGGTGGGCCCAGTGATTAAGCTGTCACTGGGCTGATCAAGCTATAAAAAAAGAATCAAGTATTCACCAACTTTATATTACATAGTGCAATGTACACAGTTGAGGCCAGGTCAACCAGTACATGCACCAAAGCACCAGTCTGAATGCAAAAGAGTGTGTCTCCCCTTATCCCATGCTACCCACCTACCCCCATCCCTGTAGCCATCTTGGAAAGGAACAAGGAAATGGACAGGAATCTGAGAAAACCTAATTTGCTAGCTTGGACTAAATTTACATTCATACCCTTGTATTGGCTAGGACTTTTAGGGGAGATTAAACAGTCCTTGCACAGCAGAGTAAAATATGAATAAAATTTTAATCTTCTACACATGGCAAATGGAGAGACTTTTTCCAGGATATAAGACTACATATCTGTACACTACTGTTATCTTTCTGAAGTATGGACCCAAAAAAGTTGTTAACAACCACTGCACTTAGACTGGAATATATAGATTTTTTTCATTAACATAAAAGTTAATTCTCTTAAAATTATAACTCTGTAAATGCTTTATGTTTCCTTTATGATTTAAAAAACATAAAAAGCAATTAGATGGATGTGTAAGTATACATTGAAATAAATACAGGTTTTAATATCTATAACCCCAAGCTCTGTCTTTCAAATATCAATATAGTCACCTTCTCAATGCATCCTTTCCAAAACCTACCTTTCAACCACACTCCTGAACCACAGGGAACTGGTTCCTCTGTTCAGATCCTCTCAGATCTCATCAGACTCTCAGATCCTCTCCCGTGCCTCACATACATTCACACACCTTGAAATGCCCCCTAACTGCAGAGGCTGTAGAGTCCTGGGCAAACTAGCTCACAGGAGGAATTTCTTTGAAGTCCTATTTTCCTTTAAAAATGCATACATATCATATATTTGTGTTTGCTTTAAAATAAATAGGATATTTAAAAAAATAATGACCTCTAAAAAGTAAAGCTTTAAAAAAAGCATCTAAGGCTATCTGAAAGGCTTCCATACATCTGGAATATCAAAACAGCACCTGTCACCCTAAGGCACTTGTTTTATATTCATCTGTTTTTTGTATCCCCAATGCCTGGCACTCTGCTTGGCATACTGTAGGTACACATGAAATGGCTAGAACATAAAATGCTCTTCAAAAGTAGACTTTATGGGTGAAGTAGGGGCACACTGCTCAGTAGGAAGGCTCAAGTATGGTCATTCAGAATAGGATGACTAGGAAGTTAATCAGCCTTAAACAGAATTAACATGTATGTAAGTTTTATCTTTCAGGCTCCTAACTTTCCTTCGTTCAGTGACCCAAAGTGCCTAGCTTGCACCCTACCTCTGTTTTGGGCTTTACATTGAATATCACATTTAATCCCAGCGTAGTTCTTAGCTCTAGGAGAGGACATGTTAAATCAATTCCAAATAAGATTTTAATAGCCTGTTGCGATGTACATGGATATTTACATTTAAAAAGAAATCTACCCTTTAAAGCCCAAGTGTGGCCACATTACTTCAAGTACATCTAATAGGCATGTCCACAAGTTATTCTGGGACAGAGGGTGTTTCTAATGCTCCTCAAATAACAACCCATAGATGCCTCCTTTGCCTCTGGGTAGAGCTAGGTGCCATAAAAAGGAAATTCTGAGCAAAAAATAAACAGATTAAAGGATTAACATTCTTCCCAGTCATATTATTTCATTAGTAAAATTCAACTATTTGACTTTTAGTGAGGCTAATAATGTGACAGCTTTTATTTAACTTTGTATCTGATTCTATTTTCCCTCGTATTTCCTTAAAAACTTACTTTTTTTATCGAGGTACAAAGAAATGTGCGTACAATTATTCGGGTATTCCATAATTCCACAAGTATGGTTTATAAACTTTTCCTTGACTGGATCATCCTCTGTGATTGCTGACTTTCTCATGTGGGTTTTTAGATTACAGGCAATTTTATATTCCTCCAAGTGGTCAACTATAGGAGCTACAGTGAAGTTAAAATGTTGACAAGGTGAATGAAAATCATTTGCCTTCACTTCCATTGGTCCTTTCATGATAAGAGCTAGAAAGAGATTTTTTTAAGTGTTATTTGCAAAATAGTAATACATAGTAAGAAAACACATACAATTCAAAACTAAATCTCCTTCCTCCTCTACAAAACAAGTAGAAATAAGAAGTTATTCACACTAAAAATAATGGTTAAAGTGCTTACATTTTTTTAAGTTATGAAAAACAGGTGACCATAGGATTGAATCAAAATTGGAGCATCTCAAGAAAATACAGACATTTCCCTGATAGCTGTAGGACAGTCTGTATTCCAAATGTCGCAATAACATTTCCATTCCACATTGCACTAGTATGCTAAGCCTGCCGTAACAAAGTACCGTAAGCTGAGTGGCTTCAACAACGGAAATGTCCTGTCTCATAGTTCTATAGGTGAGAAGTTTGAGATTGGAGTTTGAGTTACTTCCTTCTGAGGGCTGAGGGAAGGATCAGTTCCATGCCCCTCTCCTATCTTCTGGCGGTTTGCCTGCACTCTTTGGCATTCTTGGCTTACAGGAGCTTCACCCTGATCTCTGCCTTCACCTTCACATGGTGCTCTTTCTGTGTGCCTGCCTGTGTCCAAATTTCCCCTTGGGATGAGGACATTAATCATTTTGGAGTAGTCTACTCTGATGACCTCATCCCAGCTTAATTAGTTATCTCTGCAACAACCTTATTCCCAAATAATGTCACATTCCCAGATCCTGGGGGTTAGGACTTCAATATAATTCAACCCATAACACATGTCTTAACCTAAACCTCTGCCACTCCCTGATAAGTGGGTAGAGTCTAATGCCTTTCCCCCTAAATCTCCATGGGAGGGTTTATGACATGCTTGTAGCCAACCAAATGCAGATTAAAAGTGACACTGCACGAGGAAGCCAGAAAAGGTGAAGCAATTTCCCCCTTGTTCTTTGGAACATGAACAATAGAGCCTTGAGCCACTGTGTAACAGTCTAGCATTATGGCTACCATGCTGTGAGGAAGCCCAGACTAGCCCAAGTGGAAAGATCACAAAGAGAAACTCTAAGACTCTGTGAAAAGAAATAGTCACCTGCCTCCAGCTGCACCAGCCCCCTCTGCTTTAGCTCCAGGCACTGTCTGACTCCAACAGTATGAAGTGCTTCACCCCGAAATTCCCAGTGATGCCCATTCTGAATCCCTGACCCACAGAAAGAAGAAAGAAAAGAAACAAAAGGAAGGAAAGAAAGAGAGAAACAGAAGAAAGAGAGAAAAAGAAAGGAAGAGGAAAGAGAAGAGAGAAAAGAAAAAAGGGGGCTGCTGTTGTTTTAAGCCACTGAATTCGGGCATGATTAGTTACCCAGCCAAGGCAAGTGGGCTAACTTTTAATGCACTGTTTTACTTTTCAGGAGGCAGAGAAGTAGCATCTGGGAGCTACTAACCCTTCAAACACTTCTAATTCTCTGTCACCATAAAGGTATATCCCCAGTTTGCTCTCTGGTGAATTTGACCAGAACCCTGCAATAGTTACAATACTAGTTGAATAAGAACTTAGAAAGATATATGTCTATTGTACTTCCCCCAAAGTCATTGCCAGGAAATCTTGTTCCCACTCTGGAAGAATGGGGAAAATGCCAAATAGAATGATACAGGAAGCAATCTTACTGAATAGGTATGAGCAATAAATCTGATGCTTGGGCTTGAGGCCACCAGTATATTTTATGACTGTACATGAATTCTTTAACTTCTCAATGATCCAAATTGATTTGACTTAATTAAATAATAATATTGGTCTCCTAGCCAGGTTCAGTTAGACATTACAGATAATACATAGTTATTCTTTTATTCATTTAGTGAATATTTATTAAGTGCCTAATGTCAGACCTTATGCTAAGATCTGGAAATACAGTAGTGAACAAAGTCCCTACCCAGGCTCACTAGATAGTCAGACAAGTAAAAAGACAATTCATATACAGTGGATAAATGTTAGGCAGAGTAGGTAAAAAATGTATCAAGGATTCAATGACTCCTTGGGGAATCGATGTTTGATTTTACCACAAAAAGCTACATGTTCACTTAGAATATTTTTAATTCAGTTTTAAAAATCCAATACCTTTGAAGCATACCAAGTAATCTTTTAATTCAAACATAGTGAATTATGGTGGCATTTTGATGTGTTTTAAGAGAAGATACTTGTTTTCAATAAATCAAAGTAAAACCAAGAACAAGGCATATTCCAATCTCTGCAAGTCACTCATCAAGAGGGACCCCACTGTATTCCAGTGCCACTGGATTTAGAATCAGAATATTAGTATTAATGCTTTTTAATAGCATAAGGGAATTTATCCTTAATAAATTTTATTCTCACTTTCCCTCTGCATTTACCTTTTGATGCTTGTTCCTGAGAAATAAAATCCATGTTTCCTTTGAACTCACAAGCCAAACATGAAGAGCATATTTTAAATTCATTTTTGATGTCTTGGCAAATCCTGGTGAAGTTTTGAAAGTGGGAATGATTTAGAAAGAATCCCATAATAGTCTGTGTTTCCCTTATTGGTTGCAGAAAAGTCACAAAAGAAAAATTTAAAGAGGAGAGTGAATAGGTGAAATCAGGTTGTAAACACACTTCCAGACATGGTAACTCCAGCTTGCTTCCTATAAGGAAAAAAAAATTTCTTTACTCTGAAATTTTGAGTTTTTATCATTCAAATAAAAACACAATAAGCTTCCAGTTTCTCTTAGGCAAATTCAGTACATTTCAGCTTCTCAGTGAAAAGACTTTGTTTTAAATGAATTATCATCCACTCCATTTAAATATTTTTATTTAAGATTTGTCAGCATTCTCTATTAATTTTCATAGAAGAGACATCCTTGTAGAAAAGTTCTTGGAAACCCTAGCATTTTAACCATTCTCTTTTTTGGTAAAGTGTTAATAAACAAACTTGGGTTCCTCTGAATCCATCTTTTTCCAAATAGAGTTTCAATTGCATGAAACTGAACAGAGAATGGAAAACCTCTGTATTAGTTTCCAGGGGCTGCTGTAACAAATTACTACAACCTGGTGGCTTAAAACAAGAGAAATTTATTCTCTTACAGTTTTGGAGACCAGAAATTCAACACCAGTTTTAATAGTCTGAATTCTAGGTGTCCGAAGGACCACACTCCCCATCAACAGCTCTAAGAATCTGTTCTTTGCCCCTCTTCCTACTTCTGGTAAGTGCTGTCATTCCTTGGCTGTGGCCAGGGTACTCTAGCCTCTGCCTCCATGGTCACACTGACTTCTCCTCCGGGTCTCTCTTCTGCTCTTCTTCCTGTGTCAAATCTCCCTCTGCCTCTCCCTTATAAGGACACTTGTAATTGGATTTAACCCCCACCTGGATAATGCAAGATAATCCCCCCTGTTTCAAGATTCTTAATTTACTCGCATCTGTAGAGATCCTTTTCACTTATTAACATTTCCAGGCTCCAGGGATTAGCATCTGATATCTTTGGGTGATGGTGATTCAATTCACCTGAACCTCCAAAGATGACATTAACTAGGGCAACATCATAATTTTTATTTTTGTCTAAAGACAAACATCAGATATGGAAATGATGGTGTAATAGAAAGAGCATTTAGTTCAAAACAAAAGATGGAGACTCTAGTGCTGTATCCATCATTAGCCAAGATACTTAGACAACTCAATCTCTGTGAATCTTGTTTTCTCACCAGCAAAAAGGAGATAATAATTCTAGATCTTGCTTATCTCATGAGGTTATAGTAGCATCAAGTGGTACAATACATATGAAAACACTTTTGAAATTTTTAAAGATGTATATTATTTAAAATGCAAACCCATATTCCAAAGTAAACATTAAAAATTCATCCTTCATTTAAGACAGGATTATCTGTGATTTCATTCCTACAAGTAATTTAAGCTCATTATATAAAAATTGGGAATCCTTATTTAGCATTAATGATCAACTAAGGACTAGGTAACTTCTCTTTCAGATATTCCCAGTTTGACAGTCATTTGCTAGTTTGAGAAAATAACTGACATGCTCATTTTCACCTTTATGGAGCTTTCTTTACCATTTCTCATATAATCATACAGGGCAAAATTAATTATTTTAATTTTCTAAATAATTCTAAATAATAATAGAGCTTTATTTACCAGCCCTATGCATTTGAAATTGTTTCTGTAATAATCCACATGTGATTTCCAGCTATAAACACATTTCTGACCTGGGTTACTCTAAAGGTTTTTGGGGGAGGAGGTGGTATTTTACTCAAATACACAATTGTATAATGTTTTAATGTATGTATAAACAAAGTCATGATCAAATTGTAACTGATTTTTTAAAAAATTATCTTCAATAATAATGTCCCAGGAAGGAGACAGATATGTACTGTCTAATGGAAATCTATAATCTATAGTTTTTTATATTACTAAAACACATGGAAAACTTATTTCTTGCCATCTTTCCATTTTCCTCACTGGCATTTTTCATCTTATGAAATGTTCATCTTCTTGAATTTATATTCTTATAATATGACCGAGAAAGGAGATAGAGAAATTTTTTACTGTTAATACTGCCATCTTTGTATCCAATAGTGACCACCTGGACTTTCTAGAACTAATGATATATCCTTTATTGTTGGCTATGAGGTCATTTTATGATGACTTTTTAATCCTTAGTTTAAATAACTCAATTGGAAGAGAAATAGAGGACATATCCTTCCTTTGGTATCATTTTAAGAAGTAAATAAATTCTACTCAATCATATTTCTTATTGGGCGGGCTATATTCTCATCCCCATAAACAAGGATTTATGAATTTAACTACTTCCATTAATACTGTTGGGAGTCAGACATCTAAATTCTCACTCCCAAAGATAGAAATGCATTCCAGAATTACTCCTAAGACTACAGTCTCTCAGAGTAAGTATACAGAATGCTAAATAGAACCAGGAAAATATTCTACAGTATGGGACAAATGCCCAAGTTGCTAAGTCATCTTGCATTCCAGGTATAAATCTAATTTGATCTTTTATGCCTTGCTGCAATCAGATTCTTAATGTTTTGTTTAAAAGTTTTTATCTGTGTTTATAAATGAGATTGGCCTCTGCATCTTTCTTTCTGTACCATCTTTGTTGAGTTTGTGTACCAAGATATACTAGCCTAAAAATAAGTTGGAAAATATTCCCCTTTTTATATTTTCTGAAAGGTTTATCATAAAATTGCATTTATCTATTTAATCTATTTATTGAAAGTTTGGCAGAACATTCATGTAAAAATAAACAGAACCTAGGGTTTCTTAAGGGAAAATTCAGCAATTAGCTTAATTTCTTTATTGTTGTATAACTCTTGGGTTTTCCATTTCTTCCTAAGTAAGTTTTGGTAAGTTTTATTTTTCTATAAATGTGTCCTTACATTTTAAATGTACTGACTTAAAATTATTCATAATAATCTCTTATTACTTTTTAAAATTCTGTTACATCCTTTTCATTCCTAACATTAATTACTTGTGCCTTCTCATATTTTTAATTATTCAATTTTAGTAGGCAAAATAATGGCTCCCAAAATGTGCACATACAAATTCCCAGACCTTATGAATGTGTTACATCACAAGGCAGAAAATGAAATTAAGATTTCTAATGAACTGATCTTAAAATAAGGAGATTAGTTAGCTTGGTCGAATGTGATCACAATTATGAGTGAGAGAGGCAGAAGAGTCTGTGTCAGAGTCATACAACGTGAAAAAGACTTAGCAGGCCTTTGCTGGCTTTAAAGATGGAATAAGGTTACAAGCCAAGGAATGTGGGCAGCTTCCACAAGTTGGAAAAGTCATGAAAATTGATTCTTACCTGCAGCCTCTGAAAGGAATGCTATTTTTGGATAGTATTTTAGGTCTATCTTGTTTTTTCATTGACATCAAACCAGTAATTTCTTTTGTTTTATACACTAAATATTTTCAAGATTTATTTAGATTGACTCACATGTTTATAATTGTCATGAGGGTTTTTTCTGCCATTTCTTCTGTGCATTTCTGGCTTTCCTTATGGGATTATATTCTTTTTCCTGAAGTTAATTCTCTATAACTTACTTCACTAAGGATCAGCTGATAATTAGTTCTCTGTTTTTGTTCATCTGAAAATGTACATCTTACAAATTCTAGGTTGACAATAATTTTGCCTTAGTACTTTCCAGACATAATTCTATTGCCTTCTGATTTTCATTGGTACTTTCAAGAAGTGAACTGTCTGCTTAATTATTGTTCCTTTGAAGACAATTAACCTTTATCTCTGGTTATTATTAAAATCTTTTTAGTTTTCATGTTCTGAAGAATTCCTTTTTATTTATTCTGTTTGGGATTTGCTGGGTTCCTGAATTTATGTCTTTTATCACTTCTGTAAAATCCTCAGCCACATCTCTTCAAACATCCCTGTTCTCTCTCTTATCTCCTTTTGCAGCTTTGATTAGAAATCTCTCCCTTTGTTCTCCATGTCTCCTAACGTCTGTTCATATTTTCTATTTCTCTGGCTCTACATGCTCTGTTCTAGGTCATTTCTTCAGATCTATATTTCAGTTCATTGATTCATTATTCAGTTGTATCTAATCTTTTTATTCCATTCCTTGTATTTCTACTTCAAGTTATTATATTTTTGTTATTAGAATTTCTAATTGGTTCTTTTTCAGATCTGCCTGATTCTTTTTAATAGTTTTGTTTCTTATTTAACTTTTTGATCCCTTTTTTATTTATTGAAAAAATTAAATACTTTTTATTTCATACTTATAATTCCAATATTTGAATTCGTTAAAGATCTGATTCTGTTATTTGTTCTCTCTGTTGACTCTTGTCTGTTAAGTCTTCATGTGTTCCATAATTTCTTAGTATCTTATGTTCCTTAGAATTTTATCTGGGAGATTATTTGAGATTTGTCTTAAAGATGTTTTCCTCCAGAGACTATTGGTGTTTGCCTCTGCTTAGTGTCTAGTGACACCATCAGCTCAAACTACTTTAAATTAAATTCTTGGTGTGCTGAAATAGAAACCTTTGTATACTGAATATACATTAGTCCAACAACTATGGAAAACAATATGGAGGGTCCTCAAAAAATTAAAGATATATCTATCACGAGATCCAGCAGTTCCACCTGTGGGTGTACCCAAAGGAAATGAAAACAAGATTTCAATGAGACACATGCACTCCTAGGTTTATCACAGCCTTATTCAGCGTAGCCAAGATATGTAAACAACCCAGATGTTCATCAGTGAATGAATGGATAGAAAAGACATGGCATATATACACAATGGAATGTTTTTCAGCTGTGAGAAATGAGGATACCCTGTCATTTGCAACAACATGAATGGATATTACACACATTATGTTAAGTGAAGTAAGACAGGAAATTACTGTATGATATCACTTATATGTAGAATCTAAAAATGTCAAACCCATTGAAAAAGAAAAAAGAAAGAATAACAACCAGAGTAAAACAATGATTACCAGGGAATTGGGGATGGGGGTAAGACTGATGGTGTTTAAGGGTACAACCTTGTAACAGGTACTAAATAAACCAAAGAGATCTAATGTACAGTATATTGAATATAGACAATAATATTGCACCCTAAGTATGTAGTGTGATTAAAATTTTTACATCAACCATATTAC